CTGGGGGGTTCCCTGAGCTCTGCCTGACATTTGGTTATGGGTCTCTGCATTGACCTCGGGGCACAACGGTAGTGCCTCTGACTCCAGGAAAGTAGTTTCAAAAATGGACTTCCCAGGGAGGACCAGTGGGAGGGGAAAGAAGGAGAGGGAAAGGCAGAAAGGATGAACACAGGAAAACACAAGGACATGTGCATGCAAATGTCACAGTGGTTCCCATTGTTTCACACAGTAACAGAAGAAAAACAAACACCAGGGTGGCTTTGCATTCTGATAGGGGGATAATGTCCCATCCGGATTGGCTTCCAAATCAGCTGGGCAGGGAAGTGAATCTATCAGGCCCAGTTTTCTCAAGTTAAAACATAAGGTTATTGCTCACTGTACTGGGGTGAGATCATCTTGAGTTATAGCAACTCAAGTCTGGCAAGTTTGTGACTATTTTTTAATCTTTTTTTTTTTTTGTTTTTTTTTTGTTTTTCGAGACAGGGTTTCTCTGTGTAGCTTTGCGCCTTTCCTGGGACTCACTTGGTAGCCCAGGCTGGCCTCGAACTCACAGAGATCCACCTGGCTCTGCCTCCTGAGTGCTGGGATTAAAGGCATGCGCCACCACCGCCCGGCTATTTTTTAATCTTTTGTGGTTGTTGTTATGAGATGCCTGGGTCTCTCCTAGACTGTCCTTGACCTCACAGAGGTCCACCTGCCTCTGCCTGTCTGGTGCTTTGATTAAAGGCGTGTGCCACCATGCCAGGCTTACTTTTCCATCTTTGTAGTTCTTAACAGTCCTCACCACGGTCTAGGAACACAATGAAGATACTGACTTACTAGTTCAGTACAGCATCACGTGTCAGGATGGAGACTTTCAGGACGGATTCACAAAAGAAACCTTCACAGTGAACAGCAGAAGGCCTGGGGAGTTAGCGGGCAGACAAGAACAGACAAAGGTGCAGACACAGGCCATGTAGAAATTCAAAAATGAAATGGATGGACTAAATTTACATCACTGACATCCTTATAAGGCAAGTGAACTTGGAGGTTAGAGAAAATGGATATTTTCCATAGAAATTTGAAAAGTTTCTATTTTTAGTTATTGGAAGAAAGGAGAGAACACTAGACAAAGATTCACCCCAAACTCTCTCAGGGTGGCAGACCCTGAGCACAGGGTAGGAAGCACCCCTGCATCCTGGCATCACGTGTCCTGGAAATGGCCCCAGTTATTTCAAGTGTCAGCAGAAGACTGAAGGTGACCTCTCTCAGCCTCTCAGGCTCGGTCTCTCTCCTCAACTCCTCAGCTCAGTCAGAGAGTCACATGCGTGTCTTTAAGCAAAACCCTGCCTGGCACATGAGATTAAAAGAAACTGTGACGTCTACTCACCACGGGGATGGGTGCAGACGGACTCCGGGTCCTTCTGGCAAGTGAGCCTTCCCGGGTCATATTTGTACCTTCAGTGTGTGTACAGCACTTGTCACCATGAAGTATCCTCAAGACACTAACACATCGAGCTATAGAGAAAAGGGAGCCCTCTGCAGAACCTGGTCCCTAAAGTATGGCTTTCCCTCTCCCTCCTCAATTACGACATCTGTTTGCCTCAAAAGTTACCCCTGGATTAATTAGGTTTTCATTACATCATAGAAACATGTGAAGTGAGAAAGTGAACAACAGCAAGGTTTCCATGTCTAGAGTTCCCCCATGTTCCTGATCCCTTCTTTACCTTTCTAAACTAAGTCTACGAATCAGAATAGAGACCTGCCTCTGGTACAGAGAGAGGTCAGTTCTCTTTCTCCAGCCCTTTGCTGTGTGGAGGACATAATAAATGGCATCCGTCACTTTACACTCTATTTTCTGAGCACATTCCAACCACACATGTGAGCAGAACAAGATGTCTTTGCTTCATCTGCACATGTTCTAGGTCACCATAGTCTGCCATAAGCAATGGTTTTACTCCTTCTTCCTTAAATAAATGGTATCCTCAACCAGATGGACCTCCTTTTTGCAACTCAAATTCTGTCCTAACACCACTGTATCCTCATAAACAAAGGCACTCCTGATACCCAATGCAGGATAAACACACTTGGCTGTAATTGAAGGAAAGTCCTTTATCATCTTCATCCTTACTTTTCAATGGGAAATTGAATCCTGGATGGATCAAAGGTCCCATCATATTTTCAAGGGTGAATACAAATATAAAAATGAAAATCCTAATTCTCCTTGAAGCAAAAGGTCATGATTAATCGCAACTTCTTCTTTTAAAACATTTTCTTCATACATTGTGCATATTTTTTTTCTCTTACCCATTTGATATGTTTGCAAAGTTCTGATTTCATCAAGACAATAACCTTCCATTCTCTTAATGAACCTAGAATCAATCCTAGGGAAGATCCTGGTGTTTGTAATACATGTATATATTTTTGTCATTGGTGCCAAGAAGAAATACAGACTTTATTCTCTTCCACTTGACTTTCTGAAGCATTTTTGTCATGGAGAGGTTGACTGCAGAAAGAGACATGGGCTTTTTACTTTTTATTTTTTTGGCCAGTGGAGAGGGGCATTTACTGGGACTTGGAGACTCAAAATGCAGGCCTGTGCTTCTGCTCTTGACTGTCAAAATATGTGATTGCAAGGTGTCTTTTAGGATGAGTCCCCAAAGGGGCACCAGAGAGTCAAGAAATGCTGGGGATCCATTCTTCTGTGTCTGCCGTGAGGATCAGGATCTCCTGGACTAAACCATACTTGGCACAGTGCCGTAATATGCCATCTGGAGTCTCTGAGGTGTTTCTCTTGCTAGAAGCCCTACAGAAGGGAGAAGATTCTCCCTTTACACGCCATTTTGCCTTGAGTCAGATGCTAGAGTCCACGTTATGTCATTACAGATCTAAAACTGGGTATTTCTGAATTCATCCACCTCACATCATCTACTCTTTCCTATAACACAGCAGTGCCTTTCCCGACCGCACAGTTCACCTTGCAGTAAGAGCATCTGATGTTTATTTCAGTCTTGTGGAGACTCCAGCCAGAGCTGACGTTCCTAACCTGCCATCCTCCCCCACATCACTGCTGCTGTCTGTCATAACCAGCAAAGCCTTTGCTGTCATAGTGTCACACGGAGATGGCACTCCACCCAACACACTGGGAAGCAATGGAAACAGAGGCAGTGCTTCCTTGGAAATTGCACAGTTCTTTTTCTAAGGATGCTTCCCTGGCATTAGCATTTGAGAAACAATCAACATTTGGGGTTCCTTTAGTGACATGTGTCTTAGTTAGGGTTTCTATTGCTGTGACAAAACACCATGACCAACAAGCAAGTTGAAAGGAAAGGGTTTATTAGGCTTTGGCATTGCTGTTCCTCACTGAAGAAAGTCAGGACAGGAACAGAAACAGGGCTGGACCCCAGAAGCAGGAGCTGCAGAGGCCATGGAGGGGAGCTGCTTACTGGCTGGCTTCCCATCACTTGCTCAGCCCACCTTCTTATGGAACCCAGGACCAGCAGGCCAGGGATGGCACCATCCACCATGGGCTGGACCCTCCCCCATTAATCACTAAATGAAAAAATGTCTTACAACTGGATCTCATCCTAGCATTTCCTCAGCTAAATCCAGTCTCTCTCTGTGTGTCTCTCTGTGTCTCTCTGTCTCTCTCTCTCTCCCTCCCTTTCCCTCTCCCTCTCCCTCTCCCTCACCCTCTCCCTCTCCCTCACCCTCTCCCTCTCCCCTACTTGCTGGTCATGATTTCATGCTACTCCAGCTCCATCCTTGCCTCCACGTCACCATGTCCCCTGCCGTGGTGGTCATGGACTCACCCTATGAAACTGTAAGCAAGCCCCCAATTCAATACCTTCCATCATAAGTTGTCTTAGTCACGGTGTCTCATCACAGCAATAGAACAGTGTTTAAGAAACCTTGAAACTGCTTTCTTCACAAAACTCTGAAGCAGGCCTTGGATTCCTTGCCATTTTAAACTAAAGGAGAACCTAACAAGAGATAGATGAAGTGATTAATAAAATGACCCTCATCCAGGAATCAGCGATTAGCCGTGACTCAGTACTTGATCATCTTCTATTATCAGTGTTACTATACTTTGCAGACATTCAGAAATTGACCCCTTGGGATCAGGAATGTTTCTTTCCAACCAGTTCCTGGCTTCAGTGTAACAGGAGGTGAGAAGGAAACCGGAACCAAGTCTGAGAAAGCAGCACCCTCAGGACACTGCTCAGCCTCACTTCCCACCTCATCACCCACAGACTCTGTAATTCAATCATAATGATTTGTGAGTCAGCAAATGATGGAGAACCAGGGAGAGGGCTGGCCTCAGGGATGGAGATGTGAAGAAGGAGCCCTTTCCCCCTGGTGAACCAAACTCCTGACAGCAGGGAGAGCTGCTGTGAACACAGCAAGTGGGGATGATAAACAGGGCCTGGCTGGTGCAGTGAGGACCCCCACTGAGTCCTGCACACACTGCCCAGGTGAGTGCTGCTCTGTCACTGTAGACTGAGGCTGCCTTTGACTTTGGAAGGGACACTGTGAGGCAGGGTGACTTTAGGTGTGACTAAGGAGGGTCTCAGTTCATCTGTCACTGTGCAAAAGGAAGGCAGCAGGACCCGGGGAGCAAACAGTTTATCACTTTCTACCTGTCTTCCAGAACCTTGGTTAGGGAGAGTTTGCAGCAGTCCATGGTGCTTGGTGGCAGAGCTGCTCATTCCATGGGCCCGGCAGAGACAGGACACAGGGGTCTGGGGGCATTTCAGTCTGGATGTGGGGAAGTACTGTTCTGCTCCAAGAATACCACCAGCATGTCCTCTGCCTACAGATGACTAGTTTCCTCTACAGAACTCATCCCGGATGGAAGCAGTATGAAGGATTCTCTTTCTGATATTTCCTTGCCTTTTATTGAATAAATCAGTCAAACTACTACAAGCTTTAAATTGCTTTGTTTTTCTTTATACTTCAAAGGTAAAAAAGATACTTAGAAATTTTCTAAACAAATTAACAGAGAGAACAGAGGAAAGTGCTCCTTGTTGGACCAGAGATAACTATTTTATTTTTCAACTTCTGTCCACCCTGACATATGTAGTATACAACTAAGTTTTTGTGCACCTGAATTTCCCATTCAGTGGAGAGGGTGGATATCCTGGTTTCCTCAAGAGCTGTTGTTTCATTCACAGCAGAAGCATTTCTGATTTCTATTATATGGCAGCTTCACCCACATGTGTAGAGACACCACCACACAGGGCAGAGAGAGAGACTAGTAAACTCAAACTCATCTCCCAAGGAAGCCCAGTGGTGCTTTCTCCTCAAGAACAAGATGATGATGCCATCATTTCTACAGTCAGCCTACATCCACATTTATTTACATCCTTTTGCATTTGGGATAGGAAGGGCTCCTGGGCACTAGAATGCAAAGTACACAGAAGGACCACTCTTGGACACACTTGAGTTTTAGAAGTGTCCTTGAAGTTTTATAACAAGTAAACATTGTTTTTGGAATAAGGTCCAGGTTGGGGAGGCATTTATATTTCAAGTCTCATATGATATTTAAAGTGCAGGAATGAAACAATCAATTACAGTGAACACCTTAACTACCAATGGGCACAGGGAGAACAAGGGACCCTAAACTCATCCTGGTCCATGTTTGGAACTTGCTCAATAAGCAGAAACCCCAGCGCTGAGCATCATTTATTCTAATTCTGTCTAAGGAGGGATTTAAGAAAGAGAAGCAGGTGACTTAGTCTATGTGTCAGAAGCCGGTCCCCTGCCAGATCTTAGCTTGTCTCTTTGGGAAGGTGAAAAACAGTCTGGAGATGTGGGAAGCTCGGTTAAAAAAAAACTCAGTTAGTTGTTCATTTTCTCATCTCACATCCTTCCTCTTAAAATCATTAAACCCTAATTAAGCTTGAAATAACTTCTGAGGAAAGCAGATGTAGTAATTGTGGAGAGAGAGGGAAGCTGTACTTCAGGGACTGGGGCCCTGCAGAGGCCTTCCTTCCCCCTGACACTGTGACAACATGAAACTTGAAGTCTGCACTACCTGATGGCAGCCAAGAGCCCCACAAATCCTGACAGTACAAATAGGACCTGGCAAGTGTCACTTCCCAGAGCTGCTCCCGAGGCTGTCTGCACCACAGAGGTCCAGGTGAGTTCACGGAGGTAAGATCTTCCATCCCCTCAGCTGTGCCATAGAGGGTTTCACTGAAGCAGAAGTCTCTCTCTTTGCCTAAGCCAGGGAGCAGTTTAGAGGCTCTGTGATCCTCAGGATCTGCTTTCCTTCTGGTGCTGAGGAGGCTGGTCCCTGGCTCCAGAAAGATCAAAGGAGTCTAGATCCTGGAGACACAGAAATGGAACAGAAATGTTGAAGCATCACTATCCATCCTCAGGCTGGAGGATCATGACAGAGCTCTGGCTGAGTCTCTACCTATGGTTATCTCCTTGCCTGTTTTTTTAAAGGAAGCTATAGGATGTATAAAAATTTCAAGAGTGTATCAAAATATTGAGACAGGGACTGGAGAGGTGACTCGGTGTTTAAAAGCACTTGCTGCTCTTCCACAGAACCTGGGTTTGTCCCAGCACTCACACGATATCTCACAACCATCTGAATCTATAGTTCTAGGAGATCTGATGTCTTCTTCTGGCCTCCACAGGCACCAGGCAAGCATGTAGTGCATATACATACATGCAGACAAAACACCCAGACATATAAATTGGTAAAAAAAATAAACTAAAACAAAAACAAAAACAAAAATGTTGAGACAGGCAGAATATAACACTCCTACTGTATCAACACTAGGGAATTGAATCAGGACCATTACATGCTGAAGACCAGCCTGTTACATAGCAAGACCTTTGCTCAAAAAAAAAAAAAAAAAAAAAAGAAGAAGAAGAAGAAGAGAAAACCAAAACAAAATGCTATTGTTTTGCAGTCTCCAGATTTACTATCATAATGATTCTAACATGTTATTACCATTGTGTTTATAAAATTTGTACTTTTCAATTTTGGTGCATTTCCATATTTCAAATATTGGCAAATGTTTTCTTTTACAATGTGTTGGTACTTCCTAAACACACTTACGATAAACTGGAAGGGTTTTGTTAAAGTTTCTTGATTCTGTCACATGATATTGTACACACTTGTAAGTCAATTTTAATCACTGTGTGCCTGGAAGGTGTGGAGAAGTATAAAACACTAGAGTAGCAGCTGCCATTACCATCTTGAGAATCCCTGCCGTAAAAGATCCTGACTGTGAATTAGTATCATTCTGAAACAGCTCGTCTAAATTTTATCCCAGTGCTAAGGAAAAGGAGCAATAATCTTGTATTTATTGGCATGGAAGAAATCACTAATGTACTTCAGAGTTCTAGTGTTATATGGGTTGTTGTATTCTTAGTCTCTGTAGATAGAAATCATGTCTCCTAAAACATTTCACAAGAAAATCTAAGAGATGAGCCGTCTCTACTTCCCTGTGATACTTCATATGAAAAGAGAAATCACTTTTGAGATGTCCAGGAAGCTGACTTCAAACAGGATGCAGGGCTTTAAAGTTTGGAGAAAAGAAAATAGTGTTAGAAAGTAGAATCCCTGGCCCTTAAACAAATGGAAAACATTCAGTATTTTCCATCAGGACTAGAGGTGAAAGGATTGCAGAGATTTCTACAGATTCCAATCTCTAGGTAGTTAATGATTATTCCAAATGTAGTAATGAATGTAGTGATGCTGATATGCCTGCTATTAATGTCTGCAGCATGTTTCATTATTTACAGACATATAGGATGATATCCTGAATTGTAGGGTGCAATAGCACAGGAGATAATTACCCCTTTGTTAGAGGAGCAGTTCAAAGGCCATAATTGACATTACTAGAGTCATTAGACAACATGAACCCACAAGGCTATGTTCAAAAAGGTCACAGGTGATAGCAAGACATAGATATTTAAAGCAATCCTGTGAGTTTATGAGGGAGCAAAGGGAACAGGGGCATTCCAAGTACTCAGAACACACAAACCCATGGAGCGACTGAAATATCCAGTTTCCTCTCAGTCTAGAAAAGGTGCCCAAAGCTTACCATAAGTCCCTGAGAAATGAGAACGGAGGATCACCTGAACATGAACAATAACATCCTGCTGAGATCTAGAGTTCTGGAATCAGCTCAGACCGATGCAGAACAAAGCAGCCTGCCTGATAAACAGGTTGGAGAAGAATCAGGAGAAGCAGCTGCAAAGCAAACTGACAAACTGCTGCTCACAAGGCCCCACAGAGGCAAATGACACCGTGAACTCTGAGATGGGAATCTCTGGTCACACAGTAGCCCCAACCTACGGTACTGTATGTTGCCAATACTGAGGAGCCATAACTCAAAAACTTCACTCATTTCATAACAGCACATAATACTTCATTAATCCCCTTCTCCCATCCACCTCATCATCATCCCCTGGTCCAGAGCTATTCCAAACTCTTTTAGATGCCGTGAGGTTGCTCATTGGGGGGTCACAGATTCCCTGAAGACATCCACTGAGATCACAGCCCTCTGTTATCACTCTCCTAGGAAGTGTCCCACAATTCCTCTCAATGCCCCCCCATCGCTGCAACAGGGTAATTATATGACTTTCTAACCCAGGACTCTTTTTCAGGATGTCTTTTGATGATTCAGCTTTAATATTTGGACCCTATCTGGAAAGGTTATTCAATATGACTTTTCACTGAAGACTATTTTTTTAAAACATAATCATTTATATGGAGTGAAATCACAGAATAGTCAATGTCAAAAATATAAATGGAGAAATCAAAACTATAAAGCTTTAAGGCCAAATGCAAACCTGGGAATAGTTCTACTAATCCAGATGCAGACAAGAAAGGAATATCAGACAAAGAAGGAGACAGTGTGGAGGGTAAGGTACCAAATCTGAGATATGTTACAGGTGTTGACCCAGCAGGGATTCCCAGTGTGTGTGAGGTGATGTGGGGAAGGCACACAGATTCAGCATGAGCCTCAGGCTTTGGGAGTCAGGTGGGAAAATATCAAGAAATAGAATGAGAAACAGAGGAAGAAATTTTGGTTGGAGAAACTTGGAATTCAATTCAGCTATGCTGAGAGTTAACTAGGATAACCCACGCACACAGACAGACAGACAGACACACACACACACACACACTTGACCAAGTCAACTTTGCTAGTGCACAGCTCAAAAATCAAAATCTCCTCTAAACCTTTAGCTTTTGAACAGCAGTTCCCAAACTCATCGGTCAGATATTTTAATATCGCAGAGTCCACAGTGGGGGGAAAAGGAGGCATTTCAAGGACCTAATCTGCACACATTATCTGTGTCCATGGCTGCCTCCTGCACACTAGAAAACCCTATTATGCAAAATGTGTTTTTCAGATCAATGTCTAACATTACTGATGCTTTTTTGAAAAGGATTTACAGCCTGGAAACAAGTTTTTCTACCTAAGAAGGAAGAAATGGTTTTGAAGTTTATTAAGGAAATAGTTTTCCTCTTCACCACTGTGCTTGGCATTCTGGGGAACATTTCTGTTTCTGTGAATTATATGTTCAGTTGGTGGGGAGGCCCTGAGAAGAAACCCATACACCTTATTCTCATCCACTTGGCTTTTGTGAACATCATAATCCTTCTTGCAAAAGGATTGCCAAAGACAATAGCAGCTTTTGGTTTGAGAAACTTCCTAGATGACATAGGCTGTAAGATCCTCATTTACCTGGAGAGGGTGGCCCGTGGCCTCTCCATCTGCACCAGCAGTCTCCTCACTGTGGTCCAGGCCATCATCATCAGTCCCAGAGCATCTGGGTGGAGGAGGCTCAGACCAAAGTCTGCATGGCACATCCTTCCATTCTTTTCTTTCTTTTGGATACTCAATGCTTTAATAAGTATGAACCTAATCCACTCCATCACAAGTATAAACCTGAATATGTCACAGCTTAAGAATGACTACAACTATTGTTATTTTATGCTAGAAAGTCAGAAAACAAAGTGGATTGTTCTTCCTCTCATGGTCCTGAGAGATGCTGTGTTTCAGGGTACCATGGGAGGGGCCAGTGGCTACATGGTATTTCTTCTCCACAAGCACCACCAGCATGTCCTCTACCTTCAGAAGGCCAAGCTTCTCTACAGAACTCCCCCTGAGCTGAGAGCTGCCCAGAGTGTCCTCCTTCTGATGCTCTGTTTTCTTTTCTTCTATTGGACTGACTGTGCGTTTTCTCTTTTTTTAAGTCTCTCCTCAGGGAACAATTCTATGATAATAATTATTCGGGAATTTCTGGTCCTTGGTTATGCAATCTTCAGCCCCCTTGTGCTGATTCACAGGGATGGACTTCCGGCTGAGTGTTGGCATGCTCAGTGGAAGAAATTGAGAAAATGTCCCGCTCGTTTATCTGTTTAATAATCATAAAAGAAATCTCTGTTCTCTAATATTGTGGGTAAGACAAAATCCAACCAAAGCACTTTAAAGATGTTTTAATTCATAGACAATAATCCCAGTGACTCACAACCTTGACTTAAGAGAGATCTAAGCAAATCACAATGATATGGATATTTTCTCCAACTAGGCACCTTGGAGAAGTGCCTTTAACCACAGATTATGAAAATGATTTTCTCAGCACTGTGAGTCCAGGAGTGGGATGTGTGAAGATAAATTAGGTAAATTTTATAAAAAGAACTCATCTATCTCTATTTTAGCCAGGAATTTATCTTAGATCTATAGCCACAGGTAGATTAGTTCTTTGAGAATTTCATTGGGGGAAAATGTTATACAGATAGATAAACAACATATTGTTGTTTCCTAAACACAATAATTTAACCACAAAAAGCCTATTTTGGGCTGCTTGAAATCAGGTTAATTATCCAACCACAGAAAGGATCTTATGCAATTGTGAAGAAATGGTGAAGAATCAAGACACCTTTATCTGGAATGACATGTACTGTGAAATTTCAGTCAATAGAATCCATTGACACCGATCACAGAACTGAAATGCATGAAAACATTTAATCGATGCATGAAGACAGTCTGCAGTAACATAGATTATAGACTGTATAACCAGGGAATGTATGCACAGTAAAGTGCCATTCTATATCCCTCTGTAACTGCTGTATTCATAAAAATGTGAATTTGTTTTTCATTATTGATAAATAAATGTGTTTGCAAGCAGACAGGGCCTGTTGGTAGCTGCCCTTTGTTGCACCCTGACTCTCCACAACACTATTCATCTCTCTGTCATGAAAGAACTGCATAAGGATATGATTCTAATTTAATTTAATTGGCAATTTCTGCAATTGGATCCACACAATAAGATACTGGGTAGAGAATATGGGTCTAGCTATCAGATATTAGATGAACCCATTATGAAAAATACGTACTGATAGTTAACTTATTATATTATCTTTGAACATAAAACTCTAGAATTGTTAGAGACAGATTTGAACCCTATTTGAAAATAACATTTCTATCACCTATGATGAGAACCCCTGTAAACATCTGGGTACATCAAAGTTCTACTTTACAATGGTCAATCTATATTTATTTTGTGTTTGGTTGCACCAAAAATGTTAGTAATTTCTGTTATACTTTTATGCTATAGTTCCTTAAGTAGCTTGGCTTTCTAGTATAAATATTACCTTGCAGTGTGAATGTAAAAATATCTTAGATTTCAAATATTTTCTTCAGTTATCATTTGTTCCAACATTATGAAAGGTTTCGCAGGCAATCATCAGTGCAGGATTTGTTTTTATATTTTTATTTTACTGGCAACAAAATCTATGAAGAGAAGGAGTGAACACAACTCAAATTCCAGTCTGTCCTTTCTCAGGCTGTGTCAATGGTCATGCATCTCCTGTCTACTCTTAATGCTCAGCATCCTTCTCTCCCAGTTCAGATGCAACTCATTGCTCGTCCCCCATCCCCAGGATCTTACATCCTTCCCTTTGAGTCAGCTCTCAAAGACTGATGTAGAAAGTGCTTGTTTGAAATCTGGTTCCTTCAGATCAAGGCGTTTTGCCAGGTGTGGGTGTGCATGCCTGCAGTCTCAGGACTGAGGATGTTAAAAAGGGGGGACAGTTAGGGTGAGGATAAAGGAGGAAGAGGAGAAGGAGGTGGAGGCAGATCTGGGAGGTTGACTCTATCAGTAATGTGCTGGCTGTGCATTATGAGACCCGGAGTTCTCATAGGACCATGTAATAAAATAAGCCATGCACAGTGGCCTGTGTAACTCTAGGACTGAAAGGTGGAGAAAGACAGATCCTGGCAGCTCACTGGCCAGCCAGTCTATCCATTCTGTAAGCTCTGAGACACCCAGTCTCAAAAGATAAGATGTAGAGGGCAGAGGAGAGAGCTCCCCAGGTAAGGGAACTTGCCACTAAGCCTGATGAAGCAAGTTCGGTCCTTGGTACCCACATAGTGCAAGGACAGAACTGACTCCATTAAGTTCCCTCTGACCTCCATGTGCATCACACACACACACACACACACACACACACACACACACACACACACACACACGAATCAAAAAATAATGATAATGCGGAGAGTTACTGTGGAAGATGACACCAGATATCAACCTCCATATTTCCATGTGGAGAGAGAGACACAGAGAGAGAGAGAGAGAGAGAGAGAGAGAGAGAGAGAGAGAGAGAGAGAGAGAGAGAGAGAGAGAGAATGCAAGACTTCAGCAGTAAGTGAGTAAGTTCATACCCAGGCACATCATAAATTGCTAAATATTAAAACAATAAATTAACCTGCCAGAAACAAGACACTTCTTATGAAGAAACCTGGATTCTCAAATGACACTGGAGTTTTCACAGGGCACAGTGAATGTTATACAGAATTTGCATTGATCACCTTTCCTTATGGAACCTCTACTCAGATTGGTGGGGCACAGTGACATTTTACACCTCTAAAAACCAGTGTAGGGTCTGGAGAGATGTCTCAGAGGTTAAGAGCACTGAAAGCTCTTCTATAGGACCCTATTTCAATGCCCAGCACCCACAGGGCAGCTCACAACCATCTGTAACTCCATTCCCAGGGGCCGTGATGCTCACTTCAAACTTCCACAGACACTGCATGCGTGTAGTACACAAATACTCAGGCAAGCAAATACTAATAAACATAAAATAAAAGTAAAATCTAAAAAAAAAATTTCTAAAAACTAATGTCAGTTTAGACTAGTGTCCTATCAAATCTGAAAAGAGTAAGTAAGTTCATTTCTCACCACAAAGTAACCTAGTAAATGAGTGCAGTTCGTTTGACCAGAAGGCACATTGACTGACAGCACATATTTGTGGTGGCATCTATGAAAGGGAATCTGGCTCCGCCCTCTTTGCAGGCGCTTTGAGACTGAACATTGACTCATATCTGGGAACGTGCTGATGAACAGTTCTAGTGTTTCAAGTGAGATGAATCCAGATCTGGTGATTTCCCCCTTGTATATAGCATATAGAATTCTGGTGGAGTTCGAGGCCACTTGAATTTTACAATTATCAGATACCATGATCAGCTGATCAGCACAAGAGGTTTCTCTGCCTTGAACTGTTCTGATCACTGTTATTTCCATGACCATAGCAACCTTCCTTATGGTGATTAGGTCTCATTACTTGTTCCCTAGCCCCTTGGAATCAGATCATCACAGTTTGACTAGAGATTCCATGTCAACTGGTGAGCCCCAGCACAGAGCTCATCAGAATGCTGGGGCCTGTCCATTCTATGAAATGATTTCTCACAGCCACAGTGCAAGGCTGTGCACTACCAAGACTATACAGTGTATAAAGTGATGTTCTGACACCTATTTATACACGTGTTCCCACATACACAAGCACATTGTGAATTGTGAAAAATAATCAACATGTTTACAAGTTCATTGTCTCTTTTCACAGTGCTAACTAATGTGTGTGTAAACCAGGTTCAGAACCTTTGACTCTGAATCTCTCTCAATCTTTCTCCCCCAGCTTCAAACATTTACAAACATCTAATGTTGATCTTTGAAGGATTCCACATAGATTATGTGAATTAACTGAAACCAGAAGCCTTATGAAGAAATCTGCTAAATACCAAGTGAACAATGGGTTAGTTAAGGTAAAATACAGAAATATCTAGGAAATTTTCATGTGTCACTTGAAAAATTCATAATGACCATTTAAAAAATAAATTTTGTCTAAAAAGAAACACAAGGGGAGGATGATGGAAAGTAATACAAAGGTAAAAAGGGAGTAAGATAAATAACGCTATAGGGAAACTTCATAAGCTTACATTAAAATACATGTTATTTATCTCTCTGTGTGTATATATACATGTATATACACTTAAATATACACATACATCACAAATACACAGTTAAAATAGAGTTACCCCACGCAGAGGATAATAATCCTCCCAGAAGCAATGGACTAACAACCCTAGTACCTAGCAAAGGAAACTGCTCTTTTGAGTTTTTGGTCAAGGGTATCCAAGGACCCCCAGAACAATATAGGCTACAGCCATCATCCTTGGTTACCTCCCAGAACTTGAAGGCAAGACCCTATTGCTGAAGATATCACAAACTTCACATAAAATACTTGGGGGAAATCAACCTGGTAATTGACCTGGAAGCCTCCTTCCTGAGAGCTACTTCTTAATAGTGTTTTAAGATGATGTACACACTGCTGAGGGAGAAAAGTCAACAGTAGTAATTATTATTCAGCTGTAAAGCCTACAAACCACAATGGGTGACCTGGCAAGGTATGTCTAATGGCTCAACAGAGGCACATATATATTGGGTAACCAACAGCATCTTGGGGATCACCAACAGCATCTTGGGGATCACCAACAGCATCTCGGGGATAACCAACAGCATCTCGGGGATAACCAACAGCATCTTGGGGATAACCAACAGCATCTTGGGGATAACCAACAGCATCTTGGGGATAACCAACAGCATCTTGGGGATAACCAACAGCATCTTGAGGATAACCAGCAGCTGTCTAAATGGATTTAATGGATGCTCAATAGGAGAAAACTCATGCTTGGCCCTATCTATAAAGCTAGCTAAGATCCCATGGGTGGAAAGGTCACAGATTGTAGAGGAGAAACTTACTACTGCCATTTTCCTAAATCAATAAAGTTTTAAACTGTGTTCCAAATACTTATGCTTAAGTCCACAGATAAGTATACCTCTCACCCATTGTGGTAGTTTGAATGAAAATGGGCACCATAGACTCATAGGGAGTGGCATTATTTGAAAGGATCAGGGCATGTGGCCTTGTTAGAGTAGGTGTGGTCTCTTGTTAGAAGAAGTGTGTCACTGGGGGCCGGCTTTCATGTTTCAGAAGCTCAAGCCAGGCCCAGTGACACTGTCCTCCTGCTGCCTGCTGATATGGATGTAGAACTCTCAGAGACCTCTCCAGCACATGTCTGCCTGATGCCCCCATGCTTCCAACCATGACAATAATGGACTAAACCTCTGAACACACACACACACACACACACACACACACACACACACACACACACACACACAAGCAAGACTCTGGAGTGGGAAGCTCTCAGGAGAAAATGAAGAACGGATTGGGTTTCACAGCACTCACAAATGAGTGATCAGATCAGCCAGCAACATCAGTGCTTCTCCTGGTTCTCGGAAAGCTGCCCTCTTGTCCTTCTTATAGGAATTTTCGTAGGAAATTCACAAAGTGATCTGAAAAGGACATCAAAGGAAGCATCAACTCCCCACCACTTTTATGTGAAGGGACCTGTGTACTAAGCTCTGGATCAAGTCATGATCTGGGATCCAGCTGTTCACTTCCTTCTGAGATACCACTGTTGACATCAACATGTCCCAAGCACTTCTCAGGGATGGGAGGAGGGGGGTGACAAGCTCCATGCTTAGGTGCAGTACTGTCTACCAAGTGACAGCCAAAAGATGCCTTCTGTGTACATTTGTTCAGCTTCCTCCACAGCCTTTTCTTGACTGTGAAAATGGGTTTGTATCTACAATAGGGTCCCCTTCTGACCCTCTCCCACCTCAGTAGTTGTCCTTCCAAGGGCAGGAACTCCTTTCCCACGCTGTTACGTCTGTGAGACCTTATCAGATGTTCTGCCTGATCCTCAGCTCTCCCCGTGCTACACACACCTCAGCTGTCCGACTTGTCGTCTGTCAGATTCTAGTCCACGTCCCACCTGAATGAGAAGGACCAAGTTCCCTCATGCACAGCTCTAGAAAATGGGAAAGTCTGGACATAGAAACTTCAGTTATTGTTTCCTTTCTCATTTCACACACTTCTATGGACACAATGAAACCCTAATGACTACTGAGGTAATTGCTGAGGCACGGTGATGAAGTAATTGTGGAGGGAGAAGGAAGGCCGTACTTCAGGGACAGATTCTGCAGAGACTTCCTTCTCTGGGACAGCACTGCACTGACAGACTTGACATCCCAGGGACCCGTGATGACAGCCACGGCCCAGCAAACCCTAAAGGTACAAATGCAGTGTGGGAAGGCTCGTCTTCCAGGACTCCCCCAGAACCTGACTGCACCTCAGCTGTGAACGTGAGTAGACCTGGAGCTCTCTGGTTTACACACGAGCCACATAAATTTCCCTCTGAGACTTGTTAACCTCTTTGTTAGTAAGCCAGAGAGTCAAGACAGGGTTCAAAAGATTTAAGACTTTCCCCTGTCTAAATTTATGTGGCTGAGCAAGAAACTGATGGAGACCACTTCCAGCACCTGTCAGTCCACCATTGCTTGAGCATTTCTGTCTGAGTCGAGATCATGCATCTTTGGAGAGCTCTGGGGTCTTGTCATAGGTCCTCATTGTATGCTCTTTTGGAAAACAGAAAGATAATGTGTCTGGGTTTCTAGCCAGAACTAGTTTGCTTTGGCCTCACTTTTCACCTATACAATGGTTCTGTTGTCAGGATTAGTTACATCCATTTCTTCACCTGATTTTTGGTGTGTCACTGTGTTTTAAATGGACCATCTTTCTCCTTTTCTTATATTCTTAAGTCCCATGAACATTGAGATTAATTTGAAGATGTTATTTAAACATCCATCCTTAGCACCTCCCCATCTCCATTCATGGTATTACACACATGTAAATCAGCTTCACTTGCTACGTGCCTGTTTGTTGAGGGCTCTGTTGTCAAGAAGTTGTTCTTTTGAGAATTCCAACTGCTTTGCCAGGTTGTTTAGTATCCTTTGAGGGGAACTCCCTTAAATTTAGCCCAGTGTTGATTTCAAGGAGCTCTAATCTCCAGAGCCTGGGGTGGATGCACTTGATGGTATCCTATGCATCGATCTGAAAGCGAGGCTTATCTTCTAGAACACTTTGCTGTAGAGTTCCAGAAGGCATTTGCAGAGTGGGGGCCGTAGCTCAGAGGTGGAGTGTTTGCCTTCAAAGCATGGTGCCTGAAATTCAATCCCCAGGGCTGCCCAAAAGAAAAGAAACAAAGAAAACATTTAGCATATTTGCCCCTCCTTCCTCTGACACTCTTCATTTTACTCTGTGGTAATAAAAAAGTAACTTCTTGGATGTCTTAAGTGAATAACAAATCTGATTCTGAGATATGGACTATTGGCAAGGTGAAAAAATAAATACCCATAGAAAAGCAGGAAAAATAGACAAAAGAAAAGACTTGATGAGTCCATAAAGGCACTGAGGCATATACAGTGACAAAATAATGAATCATTTTATAGTCCAGACTTATTACTTAAAACAGATGTGCTAGCTAAAGCTGGTCGCATCCTGCATTACATGACAGACTAAGGTTGGGTAGGCCTTTAACAGTGCACTGCTTCAGTCTTTACTCTCTCCATTTGTCATCTGTCAGAAGAAACAAGGCTCAAAAGGCAGCAACTGACGTACCTGAAGTCATGGGGCTGCCTAGTACCGAGGAGGGAAGCAGCTGTGCTGTCAGAAACCTTCAGGACAGAGAGGTCTGCTGCACTCGTTTAAAAATTAGAAGATAGTAAAGGCCAGAGAGAACAAGGCAACACAAGATGACTTGTAGAATTTCATTCTGAACATACAGAATGCATGCAAAGCGCAGTAACCTAGGGATAGGCTCAGGCATCCTGGAGTCTTTGATTCCTGAGAAACAGTCCCAAGTCTTATATGGCTTCATAGCTGAGAGTCATAGAACACTTTCCTTGACTAAAACATTCCACCCCGCAGTGAAGCTCTTTAAGCAAAAAGGTAAACAATTCAAAAGAGCTTCAGAAAATCCCTAAATCCAACCAGATCCACCAGGCTCCTCCTTGCCAGAGTAAACAAGGAAAGCTGAAAGTCTTTCTCAGGCTAACTGAGCTAAGCTATGAAAAAGATGAACTACAAAAAAAGACTCAGACTCTCAGCCAAGCTGCAAAGAAGACCGAGGCCAGACCAGCTGCCTGGGAGAAGCAGAAACCAGCCTGGCTGCCTGGAAGAGGTTTAGACCAACTGAGTCACTTGGAGAGGACAGTCTCCAACCTGTCCCGCAGCCTGTGGTGTGCTCCAGGTTTCCCTGCATTTGTGAGATGTTGCTCATGCTGGGTGAGCCTCAGTGATGCAGTTGTCTTTGAGTCATCCTGTAAGTAATCCCTCACCCATACTCTTGTAAGTAACGCAAGAGAATTCATTGGTTCACCAAGTTGGACTTTGTTGGTATCCACTGAAGATGACCCCTGCACAGCAGGGGTTCCCTTGGGGACCAGATTAGGCACAAACCCTACCCAAACACCTGTTTTCACAGAGAGATCCTTTATCACAGCTGTAATTCTCAGAAAGAGAAAATAGGGGAGGTCTCTGTTAGAATGGGCTAGGATTTGGTGGTATGTTTTGATTGGACATGATAATTAGGTGAACCAAAGGGGCTTTTGCTGGACTTTAATACTTTGATAGCTGGACTTTGGTATTCAGCCTCGGGAGGAGGAAATGGTCAAATAAGGGAACAGACCTCGGTGGCTAGCCTTAGAAATGTAATCCAACAGTTTTTAGCAAGGCAGACAGAATCTGGTAGAAGGGCAAGGCCTGCTAGAGCCATGCTTGCCACGCTTGAGCTGGCCAGTCCCTTCATCCATACTTTGGTCTGTTGTGGGATCCCTGTCTGGGGTGAGTAGATGTGTGTTGCATCTCCCCAGGAAAAGCTTTGTCACACAACAGTGAGACACCAGGTTGGCACTCACAGATAACAAAAAACAAACCCCTCAACTAGGCACATCCAGTAAACCCAGCACTTGGGAGGTGGGGGCAGGAAGATTAACAGTTCAAGTTCATCCTCACCTACATACCAAGGTCAAAGCCAGCTCAACAGGTTAGTAGGTCTTACTCTGTTCTTGGAAGCTTGGAGGATCTCTGCTTCTTTCAGGCATCTAGGTTTGTCTGAAAATATTTGTCAGAAGTCCTGTTTATATACAGGTTGGGAGGGGTGGGGGATCAGTTTCAGGGACGTCCTGCAACTACTGAGTTGTTTACTTCCCGTATTTAATGAGCTTCCTTCCCTGTAGAATGAAATGTTTCACTCCACCCCCTTAGAACACTTTTTACCTCCCTTTAACATCATGTATCTTAAGGAGCTTCGCTCCAAGAAGGAAAGTCTTAATCTTGGAGAAAACTGATACACAACAGGTGTGCAGAGTGAAAACAAAAGAGAAGCCAATACTTGGGACCACACCTGTTTAAAAACATTTACTGTGCAATAGTGCTCATGTTTAGTTTTTTTCTAGGAAAAAAAATGATCATGTAAATTTTAGAAGTGAGGAACACAAAGAGGTATTTTTTTTTTTGGAAAAGCAAATAGATGAATTAATGTGGGATTTGTGTCTAAAATATCACTATTATCAGCATGTCAGTGAAAATAAGAAAATGAAAAAGAAGAAAAGCAAAGACAATAATCATGTGCCTGCTAGAAAAGAACCATGTACATGTTCATATTTCATAAATTTCTCATGTAACATAGAGACAATCCAGGGAGGTGAAGTATGTTAGCTTCACTCATTTGTGTTTCCCAAAATGTATTTCCCTAGTTCTCACCGTGAAGTCAAAAGATGATCTGGAGTGACCTCATCCAGCAACTAATCTTCCTTTCTCTTTCTGGACTTGGAATTTTAGGAAACATCCTTTTATTTATAAGACATGTACATATGTTTATCATGGGTTCTAAGAAAAAACCGATAGACCTTATCTTCACTCACCTGGCAATTTCAAATGTAATCATTCTTTATACTTCAGGGGTCAGATACATAGCCACAGACTTTCATTTCAAAAATGTTCTGGGGGATGCAGGTTGTAAAGCTGTGGTTTATCTGGCAAGGGTGGCCCGGGGCCTCTCCATCTGCACCACCTGTCTCCTCAGCGTGGTCCAGGCTGTCACCATCGGTCCCAGGACTTCCTTGTGGAGAAAGCTCAAACCACAGACCTCATGGCAAGTTCTTCCCTTTCTCCTCCTCCTTTGGATCTTTAATGTTCTCATAAGCTCCAACTTGCTTTATCACATCACAGCAGGCAGCAGTCTGAATAGCTCTAGAGCTGGGGCATACAGAAAGTATTGCTATATGCTGCCATCCGGGTATACAGTTAAATGGCTTTTTCTGTCTCTCATGGCTCTTCGTGATGTCATCTTTCAAAGTCTCATGGGCTGGAGCAGTGGGTACATGGCATTCCACCTGTATAGACATCACAAGCGTGTCCTCTACCTTCACAGCTCCGGGTTTGCAAATAGGGCCAGCCCAGAAGTCAGAGCTACATGGAGTGTTCTCGTTCTTATGACCTGTTTCCTCCTCTATTACTTGGGAGATTTCATTTCCTCCTTCTACATTGGTTCTGTCTTCACACTTGATTCCATAATACTAAATGCTAAATTGTTTCTAGGAGTTGGCTATGCTGCTCTCAGCCCCTTTATCCTGATAATAAAGGATTTCCACTTGGCTAGCTGCTGGCATGCTCTCTGAGGAGTCAGGATGTTCTGTAACAACCCCTCCAGCTAATAAAGTGGGAGAATCACCAGACGCTGCACATTGTGACTTAAGAAAAGGACAGAGGGAAGATTAAGGAGTAGCCCCAGACTTCTTGCAGTGCATGTGGAGTTAACAAGTCATCCTACAGCTTCTCTCAATTGACAGAGAGAGAGAGAGAGAGAGAGAGAGAGAGAGAGAGAGAGAGAGAGAGAGAAGAGAAGAAAAGAAAAACCTGGTATGGTGGTGCATGCCTTTAAATCCAGCACTCAGGAGGCAGAGGCACATGAATTCAAAGCTAGTGTGATTTTTTATTTATGTAGCAAGTTTCAGGGCAACCAAAAGAAAGACAAGGAAGGGAGGAAAGGGAGGGGAGGGAGGGGAGGGAGGGAATGGAAGGGAACAGAAGGGAAGGAAAGAGAGAAAGAAAAGTTCACAGGGCAGCATTCAGCCTCATTCAATTCCAAACAGTGAGACACAAAGATGTCCTCGTAGGAAGAAAAGATGAACAATTAAAGTACATGGAGTGCCACAGTTCTAAAGAATGGGAAGTTCCTGCTGTATTCACAGACACCAGTCTCCAGAAGACGGCGTCAAATCCCAAAAGCAAGGATCATGCGCACTGCATAGCTGGTACTGAAGAGTAATGAGAATGTCAGATTTCTAAAGGAGAAAACATGTGTATGTCTATATAAATCGGACCTGAAGAAATGCAAAAATGCAAAGAGGAACCACAAGCAAGAAACGGAATCAGCCAAGATGTTCCACAGCAGAAGAAGGAATAAAGAAGCATAAATACACGATGGAGTTTCATTCAGATGTAAAGAAAAATGAAATTATTATGAGCTTTTCAAAGTAGATGGAACTAGAAATTATTGTGGTAAGCAAGATAATCCACATTCAGAAAGACAAATACTGCATATTTTCCCTCTTATATCAATCCTAGATTTAAATTTTTATATTTGTATATCTGAGGGAGAGTCATAAAATTAGAGAGGGGGCCATGGGAAGGAAAAGAGAGGTCTGAAGAGAGGGAGAAAAGAGAACGAGGCTAACTGAGGGAGGGAGAAGCCAGCGAGCAGTGGGCGGGAGGGACAGAGTGAGGAGGAGGAGCAACAGGAAGCGTCCAGGAAATGTCATAAGGAAGCACACTACTGTGTATACTGTTTTCCAAAATCTGATGTTTTGAATGAATTATGTATTGGAAAAATCATGTTAGTATAGCATCCATGAGCTGGTAGTTTTTATGTCAGCTTGACACAGGCTAGAGCCATTTTGGAAGAGGAACCTCCATTGAGAAAAAGCCTCCACCAGATTACCTGTAAGCCAGCCTGTGGTGCATTTCTTGACTGAGATTAACGTGGGAGGGCCTGGCTAACTGTGGACAGTGCCACCTCTGAGCTGATGGCCCTGGGTGCCATGAGACAGCAAACTGAGCAAGCCATTAAGAGCAAGCTAGCAAGCAGCATTCCTTCATGGCCTGTCCATCAGGTCCTGCCTTGAGTTCCTGCCTCCCTTCCCTTGTTGATGGACTATTTCCTGGAAGTGGAAGCAAAACAAACTCCAGGTTTCCTCCCCAGGTTGCTTTTGGTCATGGTGTTTTATCACAGCAATAGAAATCCTAAGACAACACATCAAAAATGTTACTGAAAATATACCAACAGAGAATAGTAGGCACATATTGCAAGATAAAATTTAAAACATAGGCCAGGCAGATTAATTATTTGAAAGAAAACCTAATTTACAAACATGGCAGGAAGAGAAAGCATAAAAACCCGAAGCTGTGGCTGAGCATGGTGGTACACATTTTTAATCCCACCACTCTAGAAGCAGAGACAGATGGATTTCTGTGGGTTCAGATCCACACAACATGGGAAGAAACACAGCAAAACAAAGAGCATTTTAAAAAATCTGAAGCTTTTTTTTAGTGAATAAATTAAATATTTATACACAAACATTACTGCATGATATGAAAATAAATTTCAAACCCAAGAGCATTCCCTCACGAATTCTTCCAAACATTTATTCAGGAAAAGGGCCACTACTACACAAAGGCTTCATTCACCATGGCATGTAAAAGAACACTTCCAGACTCATTTGGTAAAACCAGCACCATGTCAGTACCATCAAGGCGCCTATATCAAGGAGAGCCTCTTGCTCTCAACAGTGTATCTGAGACTTTCTCAGAAAGTGGAATCTCCGGAGATGGATGACATTTGTCATACTCTCAGGTGTGGAACAGGTCAAGGAAAGAACAGGACATTGCCTTTTCTGTACCTGTAAAGCAAGTCCTTTCTAATTGCCAGCTTCAGAACTTTGTGACAGTGAAGAGACACAGACTGGAGACATAGGCAGCGAAGACTCAGAACCCAGCTGCTGTTCACTTCCTCACTGTGTGTCCGTTAAAGTAATTCAATTCTGGACTGTACTTCCAGGGATCATTTCTATACTTTGTTACATACAGTAATTAAATGCCAATTAAGTCTGAAAGAGCTTCTAGAAGAAACCTATGTAGTAATTGTGGAGGGAGAGAGAGATGTGCCCCAGGGACGATTCTGCAGAGAACACAGAGAGTGAAAACAGAAGCCCAGTGACAGGTTGTTGAAAACAAGACTGAATGCAGACGGTTCAAACGCAGCCCTGGAAGGCTCAACTGGCCAGAGGACTCACCCAGAGCCTGTCTTCCACCTCGGCCGCTGCAGTGAGCACACCTGACCACTCTTGGATGTTCCTCCCTGGGGCTGCAAAATTTCCCTCTGAAGCACATCAGCTCCTTTTTCTTTGACTGTGAGGCATAGGGCTGGGCGAGCCTGATCTCCACAGGTATGTACCACAGGTTGGAAAGATGGTTAAGTGCCAGGCTTCCATGCTTAGGAGCCAGTGCCTTTGGGGAGCTCAGGGAGGGTCTTTCCGTGTGTTGCCTCTTTCCTTTTGGGGAGAATAAGAATGATACAAGAGCCGGTGGTGGTGGTGGGGGCGGCGGTGGTGGCGGCCGCGGCGGCGGCGGCGGCGGCAGCGGTGGTGGTGGCGCACGCCTTTAATCCCAGCACTCTCTGTGAGTTCGAGGCCAGCCTGGTCTCCAAAGCGAGTTCCAGGAAAGGCGCAAAGCTACACAGAGAAACCCTGTCTCGAAAATCCAAAAAAAAAAAAAAAAAAAAAAAAAAAAAGAATGATACAAGATCGTCTCCAGTTCCTAGGGGGAAACAAACCAGAAACCCTTCTCTTCTGTAAGCTCTGCCTTCACCTGTACCATGACTACACCATTATCAGTTTCCACACAATTTCATGGCATATTTGTCCCTTACATATGGACAAACTTTCTCTTAACCTATTAAGAACTTAATTCTACAAACCCCTGCCCTTGTGTGTGTGTGTGTGTGTTTATCTTAAATGTTTTTCTGCACTCATCCTCAAAGTCTCCCCTAATCTCATAGACAACATACTGTACCTCTGAGTCAACTTCATCATTATATACTAGTATGATGGAGAAAACTGTTAACAATTAGTATTGAAAATTATTCTTTATCTTGGCCAGGTTATGCATTGATATAATCCATTGTAAATTAGACTTAGTTTTCTGAAGCATCAAGCACTGTTACCATTGTTAGTTGAGAAAACTCTGTCTGAAATGGGCACAGTTGCCTGCCTGAGTTGTTACCTAACTCAATGTACAGCATGCCCTTTTAAGTTGTTTCCAACAATAATTCAAAAGCTATTTAGGAAGGTAATTCCCTATTATCCCTGCTACTGTTCAAATTGTTAGTCAAAAACTACTGGAAGTATTGTAATAGGTGTTTCAAAGCTTACCCCAAATCTGATTTGGAACTTTGGGTCCTGGGAAGATGGGAAACACTAGACCAAAATCATAAAATCTTAAATATATTTGTTAATGACATGAGGGTATTGGGGAACAGTTTGAATTTTGTTTTTTTTTAAAGATTCTAGATGTCTGACTAAATTTTTAATCAACTCTTATTTAAATATACCAGTTACAGCTGTTCTTAATAGTATGCCTGGTGTTTTATTGCACTATGGGCTGAGAATTTCAAATCCCAGGATGCTATGTTTAATGCATGGCTACAGATTGTAATTGCTTATCTTGCAGTCAAGGAAACTGAGGCTGAAAGACAATACTTTGTGAGTGTTTCTACTCATGAGGCTGCATCATCCCAGACTTGGGAACAAGCCAATATTCACACAGTTCTTGCTACCAGTGATCTTGGAGATAAAAGATAAAAGACAGGCATAGAGGCACACACCTCTGGAGTATAAAGATATATGAATCAAAGATACAGTAACTAGAGACAGGACATAAAAACAGATCTTTGCTATATTCATTTTTTTAAAAATCAACATAGTAACAAAGAAAAAGGTATTATAGAAAAAGAAAGGTCTCTCCCTCTGAAAGATACTAATGCTGATGCAGTAAGATGGGATTGTTTTCTTTCATACTGACTTTCATTTTGCTTTTTGGACTGTTCTAGGATTTTCATGGGGTGAGGGTTCAGACAGGTTCTTGTTATGTGACTGTGGCTGACCTGAAACTCTCTATATTGCCTAAGCTGAATATGACTGTAGTGAATCTACAGTAATCTTCCTGCCCCACCCTACTTCAAAAGCAAGTGAGCCACCATGCTTGGCATATTTTTTTTTTAAAGAAGTGCCTTGTTCACTAGGTGTGAGGGACAGGAGGTTAAGGGAAGGTACAGACTGGGAAATGATTCACAGGGGTGGTAAAAAAATTAAATAGGAAATGCAAGGAGGTATTTGGTGAGCATTTGAGTTTATTTCAACATATGCTGAGTTCAAAATACATGGATTATGTAAACATTTAAACATGTAATTTAATTTTGCTAATATGGAAGTCTATTTGCTAATATAAATATGTTTTGTAATTTCAAATATTTTTATTTTCTCCCACAGATTCCACTTAAGGTACAAGATGCCCCATAAAGACAACAAGAAAAATAGTAGGATTTTTTTGATTAAAGAAGAAAATCTTGTCTATTGCACATGTCAAGGCTATCTTTTATGTACCAGAAACACACTATGACATAAAATATGTTTTATAGATACATATCATTTCCTCGAACTCCACTTAAAAGATCCCAAATTTTCTGCCGATGAAGTTAGAAATGGTTTTGAATATTAGTGAAATAACAATATTCCTTCTTATAACTGGACTTGGCATTGTGGCGAATGCTTCTGTCTTTGTGAATCACATAGGCGCTTTTGTGGGCTCTGGGAAGAAATCTATACACCTCATTCTCATGCACTTGGCTTTTACAAATATTATAATGCTTTTCTCCAAGAGCATGCCAATGACAATTGCAGCTTTAGGTCTGAGACACTTCCTAGGTGATGTGGGCTGTCACATTATTGTTTATCTAGAAAGGATGACCCGGGGCCTCTCCATCTGCACCAGCAGTCTCCTCACTGTGGTCCAGGCCATCATCATGAGCCCCAGAACCTCCTGGTGGGGGAGGCTCAGACTGAGGTCCACATGGTATATGCTTTTCTCAGGGCTCTTTTTTTGGATTCTCAATTCCTTGATCAGCATGAACCTCCTCCACTCCATCAGAAACAGAGTCACAAACACATTACAACTGAATAACAATAGTTTATACTGTTATTTCAAAAAAGAAAGTCAGAAAATAAACAGCATGCTTCTTCCTCTCATGGTCCTGAGAGATGCTGTGTTTCAGGGTACCATGGGAGGGGCCAGTGGCTACATGGTGTCTCTTCTCCACAAGCACCACCAGCATGTCCTCTACCTTCAGAAGGCCAAGCTTCTCTACAGAACTCCCCCTGAGCTGAGAGCTACTCAGAGTGTCCTCCTTCTGATGCTCTGTTTTCTTTTCTTCTATTGGACAGATTGTGCTGTCTCTTTGTATTTATCTTTTTCTTTGAAGAATGACTCCTTCACAATGCATTTTCAAGAATTTCTGACCCTTGGTTATGCAGTTCTCAACCCATTTATCCTGATTCAGAGGGAAGGACACCTGGCTGAATGTTGGCATGGTCAGTAAGATTGGAGAAGCCACGTTTCTTTGATCTCTTCAGAATAGGAGGTTTGAAACGACTGTTAGTATTTTCTATGCCTTGTATATGTTTTTTAATCAAGTAAGAAAAGCTTAAGCAGGTAAAGATAGTCTCACACAGTACAGCTGGTGGTGAGCAGCCTATGTTTGATACGAAGATCAGATTAAAGAGAGAGGGACCCAGGTATCTTCTCATTTACTCTCACATCATCCTTCAACATTCAGTGTGGACTCTGCATAGATAGATGGAGGTCATTTGGTGTGAATTCTGCATAGATAGATGGAAGTCATTGAGTGTGAACTCTGCATATAGATAAATGGAGGCCACTCAGTATGAACTCTGCATAGATAGATGGAGGTCATTTGGTGTGAATTCTGCATAGATAGATGGAGGTCATTCAGTGTGAATTCTGCATAGATAGATGGAGGTCATTTGGTGTGAATTCTGCATAGATAGATGGAGGTCATTTGGTGTGAACTCTGCATACATAGATGGAGGTCATTTGGTGTGAATTCTGCAGAGATAGATGGAGGTCATTTGGTGTGAACTCTGCATAGATAGATGGAGGTCATTCAGTGTGAATTCTGCATAGATAGATAGAGGTCATTTGGTGTGAACTCTGCATAGATAGATGGAATCTCTCTCCACTGAGCTTCAGGTAGTGAAGATCAGCAGAGTGATGTGCCAGCATCTGCACAAATTACTGAAGTGAATCCCTTTGACTCAGGAACCCCATTTCTAGGAACTAATCCTTCAGATACACATGTTCACTGAAGAAATACAATTTACAAATTATATACATCATTCCAAACACATTGCCTAAATACCAAACGAGATGTGCATTTGTTAGCTACTTGAAAATATTCAGGGGCTGGGGAGTAACTCAGTGTCAGGGTGACTTCCTCTATGGACAAGGCCCAGGCTCAACCTCCAGAACCAAAGCAAAGAGAACAACACAACAGGAAACATATCCCCAAGTTCCACACTGACAAGAGAATTATGGCATTGAGGACTGGTTGAGATGGCTCAGCAGGGAAAGGCACTTATCACCAAGACTGACACCTGAGCTTGACCCCAGGAACCACATGATTAAAGAAGTAAACTGACTCTCTTAAGCTGCCCTCTGACCTCTACATGTGCCATGGCACATGCATGCTCCCCTCCCACAAAAAAATGTATTTTAAAAATTTACAAGATTTTTGGTATGATATTTATAAGATGATAAGCTTAAAATATATTAATATAGAATGAAATATTTAAGTGAGTTTTAATTTAATAAAATAAAAACATAAAAATAATGGAATATAGTAATATCTTTAATTAGATTTGCTCTCCATCATTTTGCAAGAATAAGAAAACCATAAGAATTATTATATTTGAGACAATCTAGATAAACAGAAGTTTAATAAGTACTTCCTTTTACCTTTATGAGTTATTTTGTTTTTTAAAAATATGAGGAAACTGAAGAGATAGGTCAGTAGTAAAGATCACATGCTGCTCTTGCAAAGGACTCATGTTTTATTCCCAGTACATCAAGTGGTTCATAACTGCATATAACTCCAGGTCCGGGGGGATCCAACATCTCTGGACTTCTCTGGCACTTGTACTCATGTACAAAGACACATACACATAACTACAAATAAAAGTAAACATTTTGGCTATTGAAGTTTTTCTTTTTGTTTTAGAGACACAGTCTCATGTAATAACCCAAACTGGCCTCTTGCTTTAAGGCAGAGGCTGGCTGTCTTAATTAGAGTTTTATTGCTGTGAAGAGATATGACCACAGCAACTCTCATAAAGGAAAACATTTCACTGGGGCTGGCTTACAGTTCAGGGGTTTAGTCCATTATCATCATGGTGGGAAGCATGGTGGCATGCAGGGAAACACAGTGCTAGAGGAGGAGCTGAGAGTTCAATATCTGGAACTGCAGGCAGCAGTAAGTGAATGTCACACTAGACCTGCTTGAGCATTTGGGATCTCAAAGCCTGCCCCCTCGTGATGCACTTCCTCCAACAAGGCCACACCTCCTAATAGTGCCACTCCCTATGAGCTAATGGGGGCCATTTTTATTCAAATCAACACAATGGCCTTGAACTCCGGATCTTCCTGTCCCTAATATTCCAACTGCTGGGATTAGAGTTATATGCCACTGTGCCTGGCTCAAATTTATTTTGGTGACTGCGTTGAAGATCTGAGAGATGTAGGAATGGTGCTGGTCAGTGCTCCTGTTGACAGAAAAAGCAAGTCAAACTGGTAGAAGGTGGGAAGAGCCTCGGTAGGGTCTTTCACAGTGGGCATTTCCCTGCTCTGTTGAGGACATAATAGGAGAGGAGTATGGAAGGGCTTCTGGCTTACTGTGAAGATTTAGGTGCGGTTTTGTAGATATGTACTGTTTCTAAGAGTCACTGACTGCATTTAAGGTAAGTGTAGTTTTCTTCCTTTTGATCTAACAATCCCAACTACTGGATATACAGCCAAAGGAAATGAAATCAGAATGTTAGAGACACTTACACTCTATGTTTAGTCACAAAAGCATTCACTATGCACATGGATTCAACCTAAGTGTCTGTCAATAGATGAATACATAAAACTGTCATATATAAACTGAATGAAATATTATTCATCCACAAAAAGAAAGAAATCCTAAGGGTCTAGATGGGAATAGGAAGTGAGGAGTAATAGAAGAAGAGGAAATTGGGAGAGGATCAAGCAAAACCCAGCAGGTATTAAAATGCCATAATGGAGCCAACTATTCTGAATGCTGAAATAAAAATGCTGAAATAGATAAACAAAGGGACAAAAACAATCATCACCACAAAAGGAAAGAAATTATGACATGAATAAAAAGCAAAGCATCCAGCCCACAATAATAAATGGTGGAGAGAACTAAAAACAGCTCTTGAGTTGCCTAGAAGGGAGAAAGAGGAGGAGGGGGAAGACAAGAAGACAACGATGTAAGAGAAGGAGAAAAAGGACAAGGAAAAGGTACCGCTGTCTGGAGGACCAGCCTCCAGCAGCACAAGGCTCAAAGGAAAAGTCCACAGCGTGATGAAGTTAAGACTTTTCTATCTGAGGGGTTTTGAGGGAGGAAAACACTCACACACATTCTCTCCTGATGGTTTCTTTTCTTTATTTTGTTCATGTTCTCATGACGCTGTTGTCTTTCATGTTAAACAACTCTGTTGCTCCTACATTGCTCCGTCCTATCATGTCTTTTTACAGTTTATATATCCCAACAAACTCTTTCAGGCAATATAAGAGTTCTAATTACCCAAGAATATCTGCAGCCCTCATTTGGGACTACAAAGTCAAATTATAATCTGTAGCCTTGACTAGTCAGAATTTATTTTCACAAATTGAGGTCAGGAATGGGTGCAAGGAACTAATCATTTGCCAGCTAGCTATAACTGGGCTGTTTTTATATATACAACCTAGCCAAACAGTACAGATGTGTGTTGTCATGAACAAAAAATTGGAAACATTTATCTAAAAAACATTAGCAAGGCATCTGGTCTAATCTTAAGCCTTTTGAAGCTTTGTTTCACCTAATGATGTACAAGAAAGCTGTGACTTCATATCTCAGCATAAAGATTAAAGGAATTTGAGCCAGCCTAGCTCCGGGACACAAATGTTTTCCTAAATCATAAATCTAAGCTGTGATCTAAAGCAAGTCCTAAGTGTTTCACAGTCCTTGTGGAACTTAGTTATGAAACATATTCTAGCATTATTTTTATTCAACAAAACTCTGTCAATAGACAATAAAGCTTAAGAAATCATCTTTCTGACAATCCACAGAATTAAACGCCCAGTAGATGGAGATGTAATCATGAGATAGACACACTACAATACAGATAGTGGTGACTCCCCACATCATATACATTGTAGCAGTAAGCATTCAGGGACACAACAGAAGCAAAATACATTCTGGAGTCTGTGTTCTCATAAGCCTTGCTTAAATGAGACATGCCCATTAGAGAGTTTTTCTTCTGGTGGGTTGACACTTGAACTTCAATTGCCATCTACTGTTCCTCTGACATGGCCACTGGCTACCGACAAAAAGGAGAAGGGGGGGGGGGGGGAGGAGGAGGAGGAGGAGGGGGAGGGGAAGAGGGAGAGGGAGAAGCAGCACAGCAGCAGCAGTAATCCTGGCATTTGGAGCAATATGAAGAACCAGGAAGACAGTGTGTTCAGTGAAATATACCAGACACTGAAAATGCCACATGATTTCAGTTACATAGGGGTTTACATTCTTAAGAAGACAGATGGGACCAAGACTGGGGACTCACAGGTTTAGGGGGATACTGGTTAAAGGATTGGGTCAATGGGTCAGAGGTACAGCGCTTGCCTAGCAGTCATAAGGCTCTGGCCCAAACCCAAGCACAGGGGGAAAAATTAGCCAGTTAGACAAAAGGAATGTACTCAAGAGACCAATTAAGCAACACTGTGACTGTGATTGCTACCATTAATAACAATGCACTACATATATTTTTTATGTGTAAGATTTTTTTACTAGCATGTATATATGCACTCCATGCGCATGTCTACTACCCACAGAAATCAGAACTGGAGTTACAAATAAGATTGGGAGCTGCCATGTGGTTATTGGAAACTCAATTTCGGTTTTCTGCAAGAGCAATAAATGCTCTTAACCACTAAGCCATTGTTCCAGCCCCCATAATGGACTATATCTTGAACAATTGCTGAGTATATTTTAAGTGTTCCTACCATAGAAAAAAAAGATAAAGTATGTGAGACAATGCATACATTAATGATGCAAGTTAGTCATTCCCCAGTGTATTCATATTTCAAAACAGCTAGCCTTGGTAATACATACTTGTACTACTTGGAGGCTAAGATAAAAAGGTCACAAGTTTGAGGACAGCCTGAGTTACCTAGCAAGACCTTCTCTCAATAAACATATAAATATAACAAAAAGAAACAAAGAAAATGTAAAACCAACCTATCCTCTTGGTTGGAAGAATATATTTGTAAACCATACATTTTATTAAGGTTTAATATCAGAGACTGGAGAAATGGTTCAGTGGCTTTGTAGAGGACCTGAGTTTGACTCCCAGCTCCCACATGGTTCTTCACAAATATCTATAACTCCAGTTCCAGGTTATCTGATGCCCTCTTCTGTCACCTCCTGCACAGCTTGGTTCTGGAAATCTGAGTGGGGCATCAATGGAATGAAGAACTGTAGCTTGAGTTTTCCTGCCTGGCCCACAGTCAGGACAAATCTCTCTCACCCGCCAGTCCCACAGCCACTCAGACCCGACCAAATAAACACAGAGACTTATATTGCTTACAAACTGTATGGTCGAGGCAGGCTTCTTGCTAACTGTTCTTATAGCTTAAATTAATCCATTTCCATTAATCTATACCTTGCCACATGGCTCGTGGCTTACCGGCATCTTCACATGCTGTTTTGTCATCATGGCGGCTGGCAGTGTCTCTCTGACTCAGCCCCACTTCCCAGCTTTATTCTCCTCCTTGTCCCGCCTACACTTCCTGCCTAGCCAATGGCCAATCAGTGTTTTATTTATTGACTAATCAGCAACACATTTGCCATACAGAACATCCCACAGCAAAGAACAGTAAGCATTCTCATTGAGTGGCACCAACTACACAGCAACCAGAAATCTTAGCATATTTTTTATGTACAATGCAGGAGGAGGGGTTAGCTGGACTCTGTAGGAAATAAGAGGTCTCTGTAAATAGTCTCCAGCTATAAACATCCAGAAAGAAGAGCCTGCAGGAGCTGCCAGCTTTTGCACACACTGGCCAATCATTTGTCACACTGTCAACCTTCCTACACAGACCAGAGGACAGCTTTGCCGATTCCAAGTCTGACCCGTACAGAGAATGCTTTGCCATTACCATAGATCTGAGCCATTGTGAGGTGTAAGAAGAAAGAAGTCTATTTTAGAACTTATACACATGGAAGATTCTGCAATTGCTGATAAGGAGAAAAATATAAACAAGTTTTTAGTTAAAATGGGAATAGGATGGATTTCCTAAGAAAGCTTATTTAGGAAATATTAGGTTACATAGGAATAAGAAAATAAATGGAGGAACTCTAATCTAAGACAACATAGTTAAACTAAGCTACCGACATCTGTGTTTGTAAGGCTGCTGCTTCTTCTCTGGAGAGTGTACAATCTGTCCTTCTCCTTGAGAAGTGACCACCACCCGTATCCGCTTAGACATTATCTTAGTTAGGGTATCTATTGCTGTGATGATCTAAGGCAACTTGTGGAGGAAAGGGTTAATTTCACTCACAGTTCCATATAACAATTTATCATTAAAATCGTGAGGTCAGGAACTCAAGCAGTGGAGAACATGGAGGCAGGAGCTGATGTAGGGGCCGCAGAGGAGTGCTGCTTACTGGCTTGCTCCTCATGGCTTACTCAGCCTGCTTTCTTATAAAACCCAGGACCAATAGCCCAGGAGTGACCCCACCCCCAATGGGCTGGGCCCTCCCCCATCAATCACTAATTAAGAAAATACCCTACAGCTGGATCTTACGGAGGCATTTTCTCAATCATCTTTTCAGATGAGTATATCTTGTGTCAAGCTGACATAAAAATAAAACAAGCGCCGGGCAGTGGTGGCGCACGCCTTTAATCCCAGCACTCGGGAGGCAGAGCCAGGCAGATCTTTGTGAGTTCGAGGCCAGCCTGGTCTACAGAGCGAGATCCAGGAAAGGCGCAAAGCTACACAGAGAAACCCTGTCTTGAAAAACCAATAATAAATAAATAAATAAATAAATAAATAAATAAAACAAGCTAAAACATGCATAAAGGTGCAGTAAGTGGCACTCACATGTCAGTGGCAACCAACAGCTGTCTAACTGGACTTAATTCCCACTCAACAGGAGGGAAATCATGCCTGGTGCTACATACTTAGCCAGCTTCCCAAGGAATACTGAGGTCGTGGACCTCAGAAAAGAATTTACTACCACCACTTTGCCAGACCAGCACCATTCATCCCTCACTACTTTAGAAATCTTATCCGTGCACCCACAGAGAAGTGCAGCTAACACCCCTCATAAAAGAAGCACCTCTTTACAGCACATGGAAACAATCACACACACACACACACACACACACACACACACACACACACACACACACACACACCAAAAAAAAAAAACACCCCACAATGCAGAGGTCCACAGGTTGTGGGAAGTCCAGCCCCAACAGAGACGGCTACATGACAGCTGCATCTGGGAAGATCAGGCAGAAAGCAGCTCAATTAACCACAGCAACAAAAACTGTGATGCTGGGGATCAGCTGTTGAGATGCTCAGGAAAGTGCTTGCCTTGAGCATCAGGACTGGAGGAGAGCCCCAGAGCCCTCGATCTGCTTTGTTTTGTTTTTGTCGAGCATGCCATATGTGCTTGTAATTCCAGTGCTGGGGAGGTAGAGACAAGCCGACCCTGAGGGTCACTGGCAGCCTAGATGACTTGGCAAGTTCCAGGTCCCAGTGAGAGACCCTGTCTCCCAAAGAAAGGTGGGCTGTTTCTAAGAAGCAACACCAGAGCTGTCCTCTGGCCTCCTGTTGCGTGCAAACATAGGTGCATACTCACACACATGAATGCACACAGAAATGGGAGCAAATGGCAGTGGTATATGCCTGTAACCCCAGCCCGAGGCTGGCTGAGGCAGGAGGATCACAAGCTGCAGGTCAGAAAGATCCTGTCCATAAATTAATAAATTATTTTAACACCAAATAGTGAAACTCTTTGCCACTACTAAAGGAAAATTAGGAGACCACTGTTCTGCTTACACATATTTTGAAGCAAGTGAAACTTTAAAACATGTGATTAGCTTTGATCAGAATTTTTAAATCAGTGCTTTCAACTGAGAAGTCAAGGATTCAGCTAAGTTAAAGAGAGGGAAGTCAAGAATGCTCCATGAAGAAAATTCCTTGTTGGAAGACAGTGAGGTCTAGACTCTTCTTGGTGCAAAAGCCATAAACACATTGGGCACAGGGAGCAAGGTGGTCGGAAGCTGCAGAGCTGAGGTGGGGCTGCTTGAACCAAGCAGGTCATGGAACAAAACCACAGCATAAAGGCTCTTCAAGAAAGAAGAAAATAACTATTCGTTGTAACTCTTGATTCACAAAAACCAGCGCACAGATGCTGGTGCACCCTTCGGGAAAGAACCCTGACTGGACAGTTATGAACACAGTCAGGCACAGTTGGCATCTGTTCCTCCCGTGGTCAGCGGTGACTGATTTGCCTGGACTCGGTGAGGAATCTTGCTGATTCCTTCCTTTTCAGGTGTGGGGATAGCGGTGATCCGCCCCCAACTTGCCTCATCACAACTCTCTCTTCATCTGACCTGCAGATGTAACTGCCTGTTCACCTTTGCTCTGTGCTTTCCTCTGAAATCGCCGTTCTCTTCCTTAGAAAACTTGCTTTCCGAGGCTAGAGAGGTGGTTCAGCGGTTACAAGCCTTCTTGCTTTTCCAGAGGACCTGAGTGTAATTGCCACGCCCTTTTTTGGCCTCCTCCGGTACCCACATGCATATATACCCCCACATTGACATACACATACACAAAAATAAAAATAAATCTTGAAAGAAAGAAACAAAGAAAAGGAGGGAGGGAGGGAGGGAAGGAGGGAGGGAGGGAGGGAGAAAAAAGCCCCATACTTTTCGGGCAGGCATGTAGCTCATGCCTGTAATTCCAGCACTGGAAAGCGTGAAACAGGAGGGTTGCCACCAGTTTGAATCCAGCCTAGGCTACACCCTCTCGCAACAAAACAAAAAGCAAAGCAAAACAACAACAAAAGGATTTGCTTTTAACTCATTTTCGAGCGGACATTTATGACGGACTAGTCAGTAATCTCTAGCCATGTTTACTTATTTTATGCATTATTCATTTCCTAAAACAAACAAAAACAGGTGAAATAGGAATTTTCACCTCTTTCCGCAATCATCTCGTAGCTCCGGGCGCCCACCCGCCCTCTCCCTCCCTCCCTCCCTCCCTTCTGCCTGTCCCTGGCTCCACGCGCGCGCATGCGTTTGGGCGTGTGTTTGCGCGTACTTTTCCAAGCACCACGTGCCTTGCAAAATCAAATGCCGACTAGGCGAGCTAGAAATCAGGGTCCCTCTAGTGCCGGTGGCCTGGGAGAAGATCCTACTACACAGAAGACAGCGGATCCTGAGTACCGTCTACTCCGATCCGATCCGGAGACCCCTTCCCTAGGCACTAGCTCCCCAGAGGTCGGCGGCAGACACACGGGGGTGGGAACCCGCACGCGCCCCGGGCGCCAGGGAGCGCTGTCGGCCGGTCGGGCCTGGACCACCTCTGCCATGCCCACCTCTGTCATGCCTACCTCTGCCATGCCCACCTCTGCCGCGCCCACCGCCCCCTCCTGCACGGCCTCAGGCTCCCACGTCTGCAGACAGGGCCCGCCCAGGAGGCTCCTCCCCGGTGCTCCTGTCCTGGGACTGCTTTGCAGAACGCTGCGGAAGCACACACTTCCCAGCATCCTTTTGTTGTTGTTGTTGTTGTTGTTTCTCGCCCCTCTCGTTTTCTTCGTTTCTAGTTCTTTTCTCTGGGGACAAGCCACGTGTCCCCGACTGCCCCAGTGCCCCTCGGAGCGCCACAATGTGGCCAGGAGGTAGAAAACTCTGACCGAGCCACGTGGTGCCGTTGGCATGCTCTGACGAGGTGGCCGAGTGGTTAAGGCGATGGACTGCTAATCCATTGTGCTCTGCACGCGTGGGTTCGAATCCCATCCTCGTCGACCTGGGCCTTTTATTTATAACAGAAGGTTTATATGTAGTTGTGAATTCAAGCCCAGCTAGAGATGTATATGTAGCTATGAACTCAAGTCTGACTTGCTCAGGACGGCGATTAAATCTTACTAAGCTCTGTTTGGGTTTTACGCTGTGGTTGACTTGGCGCTCACTGGTTGCTAGGGTCCCAGCGAAGTGCTTGGCTTGGTCAATTTAATGCAGTTTCTCCTAGTGAGTTCCCTCCTGGCCACTGAAGGGAAAACAAAGAAAGGGTGAGAAGAGAAAGAAGGGGGTAGGGAGAAAAGGGGAGCTGGACGAAGCTGAAGTCTCTCTCCACTCCGTTTTATTACTTTCATTTCATTATGGCATTTTCATATATTAGCACTACTGTGAGAGCTAAAAATAAAAGGTCAGAGTGCGCACGCGTGACACACACACACACACACACACACACACACACACCCCAGAACCACCATACCAGAGTGAAATTATTACTGCTTCCATACTTGGTACATAATGAAACATAGGCTATATTTTCACGTGTATTTTGGATCTATCTAGTGAGTAGAATGGCTAGAATCTTACAAACGACTTTCTCTAATTATGCTTTCCTTTGCTGTCAACCTGTCTGTCCTTAGATTTACTAACTCCCCAGGGGGATCGGGATCTGTCCCTGGTCTACGGGCAGGCTTCTGGACCCCGCTGCCTGTGGTGTTTGCACAGTTTGGTGCAGTGGGAAGGGGCTTGGACCTGCCTAGGCTCAATGTGCCGGGCTCTGCTGACTCCCCATGGGAGACCTCGGTTTGGGGGATGTGGGGATGCGGGGTGACTTGGGAGGGAGGGCTGGGGGTGAGAGGAGGGAGAGGGATCTGTGGATAGCATGTGGAATGAGTAGAAAATTTCTTAATAAAGAAAAATGAAAAATAAAAAAATAAAATTACGTAATCAATAGTGGGTAAAATAATAATATTAATTAATAATATATTAATTAATAATTAATAATAATATATATCCCCTTCCCCCAGGCCGAGGGAACATCTTGTTAGAAGAATCAAAAAGAATGTAGAAACAGATGATAAGGTGGGGGAGGGGCTGCTGTGCCGTGCCCTCTTCTGACTACAGTGATTACCTGTGCAAGATCGAGGCAGCTGAAAATTCCAGCATGGGCGGGAGAGGGACCACAGAGGCTGCAGCCCTCGCTGACTCTGACTGCTAGGGAAGGGACTGTCCCTTTCTTTGGATGGGAGTAACCACTAGTAGGTTGCCCATCCCCCCACACGACCCCATGACCACGTGTATATAGGGAACACTAATTAGACTAAAAAGGTAGATAAATAAATAAGGACATGAAGATGAAAGGCAGGTGGATAGGGTGTTGTTTCTGAGGAGATTTAGATAGGGTAGTAGGATCAAGATATATTGTATACATTTTTCAAAAAATAAAAATACTGTTTTAAAAAACTACTAACTGCAAAAGTTTTAAATAATCATAAACTGTTAAAAAATACACTGAAATTTATGTTAGTATAAAATAGCCACATAAGCCTGGAGTGGTGGTGCATGCAGGAAGATCTCTGTGAGTTCGGGGCCAGCCTGGTCTACAAAGTGAGTTCTGGGACAACCAAGGCTATTACACAGAGAAACCCTGTCTCAAAAAGCAAAACAACAACAAAAATCAAACAAACAACAATAAAAAAGCCATATAGTTATCTCAGAACTTCTATTTTTTGCATTCACAAAATTCTTGTTTTACAAAATTAGCTTATTTATTTATTTATTTATTAATGTTGTTTGGTTTTGGTTTTTTGTTTTGACAGGGTCTTTCTACATACCCCCAGTTATCCTAGAACTCACTGTGGTAGACCAGCCTGGCCTTGAACTCAAAGAGATCTGCCTGCCTCTGCCTCCTGAGTGCTGGGATTAAAGGCGAGTGCTACAACACCCAGCAGGCTTCTTCTGAAGTTTTGGTTCTAGAACATCACACAAGCCCAACAGTTCACAAAATAACTGCTCAGGCAATCACAGAGCAAGCACCGGTATAACCGCGACAAGACTCTCCTCAGGTCTAGCCACTAACCCAGTTTTCACACTTTACATTTTCTTATCACCAGTTTATCATTCTTACACATTAATGCTTACCGAAGAGGCCTCGGAGTTGGCACAGAACACACACAGACACCGAATTCTCAGCACAAAGATTTATTAGCCCAGAGAGGAGACAGGGTGGGGGCGGGGCTGCCTCTGGACAGGGTAAGGACCGCAGCAGGTGTCTCTGTAGGAGTGGTTTTTAAGGAGAAAAAGGGGAAGTCTGTGTTCAGATGAGTTTAAGTCGTGATTGGACATGTTAGCCAGATAATGAATTTTGATTGCTAGACTGTAGATGTAACCAACAGTCTTATAAAATAAGAAACACAGAGCCAATTCAGAGAAGAAAGCCAAGAGGTCAGAGCTACGAGTCTCACCCTTCCTGATTCAGGGATCCTCTCCAGCCAAGAGAGCTCTCCGAAAAGGACCTACTTCCTGTGTGTCTGTCTTTAAAGTCTTCCTGTTCTGCCTTCTCATTGATTGTAAACCCAAACATGTGACTGCCTCGTCACTGCCTGAATGTACCGCCCTCCAGGTCCTTAAAGGTGTGCACCACCGCCGCCATGCACTTGCTATGACTCTAATAGCTCTGACCCCCAGACAACTTTATTTATTAACATACAATTAAAATCACATTTCAGTACAAGTAAAATACCACCACACTGGACCTTGATGTTTTGATAGTTGGACCTTGGAGTTTTAGTCAAGCATAAAGAACTGGCCAAATAAGGAAAAATATCTTGGTGGAGAATCATATGTGTTTTTTCTGCCTTTTTGTTACTATCCAGTAAGGTTCATTATTATTGCTGTATATATGTTGATACTAACATTTCTGCCTAATTATGTCATGGCATGATTACAACTTATTTATTCCTTGTATTTATGTTACTAATATTTGCACATCAAGCTAGAATGTCATTGTTTAAAATATTTATTATCTTCGGATTTCTGAGAGCCAGAATGTTAGGAAAGAGTGGCCTAGCTGGTCCCCCTAGACTCTCCCTCCCCCCAGCTGGTGTCTGAGCTTCCTTCACACAGCTGCAGTTGATGCACCAGAAGTATCAGCTGACTTAAGGTTGAAGTACAGGACTGGCTTTGGTGTAATCACCGACCGGTTGTTGACAGGATGTTAGACATTCTAGACAGCTGTGGCCAGACAGTGGCTAGCCCCATTGATGGTCATTTGAGTTCTGTGTAGGTTGCTTACAATGTATTGCCTTGTTTCAAAAGAGCAAGCCTTAAGACCCAGAGAGACAAAAGTCACCATCACCATAACCTAAATTAGGAAGTCACAGGCCATTATGTCCAGTGTATTTTTCTTGGAAGTGTTTAAGTCTGTCTAATCCCCACTCATGAGGTGAGGTCACACAAAGGGCTAGTAACAGGGGCTGCAATCCAGAGGAGCCGGCTGAGAAACAGTCTTCCACACTTGAAAAGCCCCGTTTGTCTCAAGAGTTACAAGGTGTTTTATTGTTTTGACTTTAGTAACATACGAGCTAGGGGGAAAAGGACCTACAACCTTTTCTGACTACCTAGAATTGTTTTTGTATTTTGTACTTAACACAGAATCTCATGTAGCCAAAGCTAGCCTCAAACATTAGTGTCAAATTTGACATTGATCTTCTGGTTTTCCTGCTTCTATCTCCCAAGTGCTGGAATTACTGATATGTGCCACCTTAGTTGGTGTCTGTTGCCGAGGACAAACCCAGATGTATCTCTACAACTGAGATACATCTCCAGGCCCTTGGGATGTTTGTGAAGAGATTTGTAACAAAAAACTAATAAAGACCTTTTCAATTTTACATAAAAGAAATATTTTCCAGTTTGCCATTTGTTTTCTAGCCTCATTTCTAATGTGTTAAACACTTCATATGCACGCATATTAATATCGCTATATTGTTTGTATGTTCTGAATGAAATACCGAAGGACAAATAGAAAGGATCACCTTAAGATAACTAAGAATGTCACTGTCACATGCATCATCATCATCGTCACCTCCCTCAACACTGACAACTTGCCATGACAAAGGAGTTTAGGACCAAAAAGAATGGCTGATTTCCACATCTGACACTGTTAACCCTATTTTGGTGCCTCAGAAGGGCAGCTGGGTCAACAAGTGAGGCTACCTTAGTGGAACTAGAAAGTGTGTCCCCATCGAGTCCAAACTCTAGGACACAAAATTAATGCGTCCAAGTGTCTGAGATGGCGTCTTGTAAATCAACCTGCAGAAGGCACTAAATATTGAATTGAATTCAGACAGTTATTCCCTGTGTGGCAATCGGCAATTAATTCACTGCCATCTCTATCCCTGTCCTTCGTGATTCCTCTTTTGTACATAGAGACTATTGGAGATCGTGGTGTAAAGGACCTTTTCAGAATCAAATACGCTGCTATGCCTCCAGAGATTGAGACCAAGAGTGGATTTCTTTCATGCTTTATCATTAATGCCATTGTTACAGTTTTATTCTTTACATAATCTTATTCTCCACACTGTCATTCTTTCACAGTGCAAGGACTGACCCAGCTCTAGTCCACGATGTGCTCACATTTGCCTGTGACCTCCTAAGCATCCAGTGTGGGTAGAGATGACACTCATCTCTGCCCTGAGCTCATCTCTTCACATCTGGCTGCCACTGTGGAAGCAGAAGTGAGAGGGACAGCAAAGTGAGCCGTGGGAATCGTGTACGACCAAGGCCCTCTCCTGGTGTCTTCGAATCTCTAATTCTTGGTGTAAGACATTGCCAAGGCCT